CGCCTATCACGGGGACCGGGTGTCCACGCTGGGCACGCGGCCGGACCCGGGCTCCGCCGTCTACCAGGTAGGCCGGAGCGCGGCGTGGCCCTGGCCGCACAGGGCCCGTGCGGGTCGAGGAGGCGGCGGGCCCAGCGCAGCTGCCGTCAGCGCCCTGTGGCCGCGGCGCTGGGCTCTGCGTCCGGGACGTCGGGGTTCTCGGCGCCCGGCCGAGCGCGGTGCGGGGGCTCGGGGAGCACGGGGCTGTCTAAGCCCCACCCTGGCCTGCGGTCTGGCCGCGGGGTCCTGGGCTGCGGCTGTTGGAGAAGTCCCGGGCCTCGGGGCAGCAGCTTCGGGAACCCCGGCCGCGCCCAGCTCGCCCTGGGCCGCGCCTGCCAGACTTCAGTCCGTAGCTGGAGCCTTAGTAGAGAACACCTATCACACAGGACCTTTGCGTGGCCGTTCTTGGAATTGGGACGGATCCCAGGGTCAAAGAAACAACTCACGGAGCTGGAAAATTTCAGTCTGTCCCATGGTTTCTAAGCCAAACGGATAACATTTAAACTGTGCAAATAACTTTTGGAGAAGACATTTTAAAGAATTCCTGCCTTTGGGCAAACAAGGCAATTGAAAGAAAGTCGGCAGGCTGAGACAGAAGCAGTGTCCACTGAGAGGCTCCAAAGCCTTGGGATTTCCTGCGGTCAGGAGAGTGTTTGATGCAGACATTAAGTGCTTCCTGTGATCTGGGTACGATTTTAGGTGTTTGGATAGATGTGTAGGCAGGGAATCATTTGTGGGGAGGACGGACAAGAAAGCAGGTAGCCCCAGTGCGTTGTGATAAGTGATGTCTAGAGCTTGAAAAGGTGGGTGTGGAAAGGAGCCTTCCTGCAGCTAGGAAGTACTGAGTGAGCTGGCCAGGTGAAGGGAGGAGGATGGGAGGCAAGACTGTACAGACTGAGGAGTTAGGAGCACAGAGGGACCGGGTTAGGAAAGTGCACAGTGGGTGTGAGGCCGGGCCAGGGTGTGGGATTCGTGGAGTCGATGGGATTGATGGTGCGGCCAGATAGAGGCGGGCCTTCATGCAGAAGCCGAGTTTAGACTTCGTTTTGCAGGCTGTGTGCTGAGACACTTGAGTGGAGAAGTGGCCTGATCCTCCAGACGTGGTGGAAGCCTCAGTGTGGCCGTGTTGTGGAGGAGAGTCCCTACCGTTTAGAACGTGGCCGCCTCTTGGCTCAGTGTTCTCTGGGTTGCCGTAGGCCTCTGACTGTTTTCCAGAGCGCCTACAAAGTTGTTTTAGCCAGTTTGGGGTCATTATACTGATGTCTCTGGCCGGGGGAACGAGGGTCTGGAGCTTCCTGGTCTACCATCTTTTTGTCGTCAGGTGTGGGCTGATGTTTTTGAGGAGTGTGGGCCTGAGAATATAACTTCTTTCTCTGTGTAAAGTGTTTATGTTCTGATCCAGTCTGTGCACCAGTGATTAGGACAGGGATGTAGCTATGGTATGGAGGAAAAAGCACTGTCCTTAACTAACAAACAACGTATTTCCATAGGGGAAAAAAATCCGGAGGGAAATGTGCTGCAATGTTAGTAGTGGACCTGTCGGTGGGCAGAAGAGGCAGTGTCGCATGTTGGTGTAAGAGCAGGGTTCTGGAGCTAGTGAGCTGGGTTTAAATCCTAGCTCTACTGCTTGTTAGCTGAGTGACCTTGGGCTAGTTGCTTGGCCTCTCTGTGCCTCAGTTACCTCACCTGTCTAATGGCGTTAACAACTGTGCGTGTCACATAGAATTATCAGGACAGTTAGTGAGTGCTTAGAACAGTGCCTGGAGTATAATAAGCCCTCAAGAAATACTAGCTCTTGCTGCTTTTCCTCCTCTCCTCGAGGTCACCTCACGGTCTGTCCCAGCCAGCTTTTGCTTCAGTAATGCTGTGTAGCAAACAGTCTCAAGATGTCAGTGTCCAAAAGAACAAATATTTACTTTTTGCTCCTAGTCCATGGGTTGGTCGAGGCAGTTCTGCCTTAGGCCGTGCATCAGATCCAGGTCTGCTCTACCTGTTTCCAGGACGCAGACTGGAGGGGCAGTGGCCCCTGGGGTTGCTCCTATCGTATTGGAAGGCTGGGGTACAAGAGCAGAGGGTGGAAGCACTTTGTCCCTCTTAAAGCATCTGCTTGCGGCTGCTACGTTGTCACATTTTCCCACATTCCAGTGGTCAAAGCAAGTAATATGGACGGACTTGCAGGCTGTGGGGTGGGGAAGTGTAAGTTCACAGCGAACCTTGGCAAGGATGGGAAGGAAGGAAGAATTTTGAACAGGTAGTACAGTCTACCTCATGGGCTAAGATGGCTGCTTAAGCTCCAACTATTATGTCTGAGTTTCCAGGTACAAAGTGGGAGGAAGAGTCAGTAGGCAAAAGGACACCCTCACCTGCTTGTCCTCTTTTTTTTTTTTGCTGAGGAAAATTCACCGTGAGCTAACATCTGTGCCAGTCTTCCTCTATTTTGTATGTGGGTTGCTGCCACAGCATGGCCGCCGATGAGTGGTGTACGTCTGCGCCTGGGAACCGAACCCGGGCTGCTGAAGTGGAGCATGCCAAACTTAACCACTAGGCCATGGGGCTGTCCCCTGCTTGTCCTCTTTTTAGGGAGCCCCTACAAGTCGTACCTTACAACTTCTGCCTATATTTCATGGGTTAGAATTGAGTCACATGGCTACACCTGCCTTCAGAAGGAGGCAGGGATATGCTACTTTTCCAGCTGGGCGTGTGGCCGCCTTGAATAAGATTGAGATTCCATCCTCAAGGAAGATGGAGGAGCGGCTGTGGGTAAGCAGCCAACAGTGTGTGGCATGGAGGATCAATAGCGCGGAGAGTGGGTGTGTTCTTCTTAAGTTGTGTCAGATGTTAGAAGACTTCCCTCAGATGCACCTGTATCTCCTGGGACCCCAGGCTACCACTAGGCCACTCGCTGAAAACAACCCACGAAAGGGGAACAGAAGAGGAAGCCATGCTGTGGATGGAGAGGGCCCGTGGGGCCCTGGCCAGTCCACTGTCTCTCTGCCCAGTTCTCCTGGTCGCCCATGTTAGATGGTAACACACATGGCTGCTCTGACCTCTCCCAGCACCATTGTTTCAGGAAGCCTTGTCCGATAGTGACAGTTTCTTTCGTAACTGGGGGCTGGCTGAGCTGGGGTGAAGGTCCCTGTAGAACCAGCTGTAGCTTTGGCTGAGGCTGCTCTCAGTTGGACAGCAGTCGTTGGCTGCAGTGCTTGTCCCTTAGGGTTTGGTTAGGCTTTAATGAGGGTTCTTTGTTTCCTCTGTGTGTATTTATTCAGCTCTGAACTTGGGTGCCTGTGGTTTGCCGAGTGGCAGGAGACTGGGAGTAGAATGCAGGTGGAGGGAGCTCGGCCGAATCTTAAAGAGCTGGGGGGAGAACAGGGAAGGAAAGGCACCCAGAGTCCCGTCAGCCTCTAGATCTACAAGGGAAGAAACACTTCTTGAAGGACACTGCGGGGACGCGTTTAGCACTGCGGGAAAAATTTGTGGGACAAACAGAACATTTCAAGACAAAAAAGATGGGAGAACTTATATTTTAGAAAAGACTTAGGAAGCATTTCAGCCAGTTGTGGCGGTATAGACCTTCTGGAGGATCCTGTTTACACACAGACTGTAAAGAACAAATCTGACAGTCGGGGAAACGTCATCACTCACTAGATATTTGATGATATTAACAGGTTATCGATAGGTGATAATGGTCCTTATCTTTTGGACATTTGGAAATACTTACAGATGAAGTGTTATGTCTAGGATTTTCTTTCTTTCTTTTTTTTTTTTTTGAGGAAGATTAGCCCTGAGCTACCATCCATTGCCAATCCTCCTCTTTTTGCCCAGGGTGATTGGCCCTGAGCTAACATCTGTGCCATCTTCCTCTACTTTATCTGGGACGCCGCCACAGCATGGCTTGATAAGCAGTGTGACAGTGCGCGCCCGGGATCCGAACCTGTGAACCCCAGGCCACTGCAGCGGAGCGCGTGCACTTAACCCCTAGGATTTTCTTCAAAATTATTCAGAGTGAGGCGTAAAGGAAACAGCTCTGGCCATCTGTGGATAATTGTTGAAGTGCGTTGGGTACATTTCGTTATACTAGTCTTTTTGCTTTCGTGTATGTTTGAAAATTTCCATGAAAGTTAGTGAAACCTCTGACTTTGCTTGCTGCAGTGCAGCCCGTCTGTTCCTTTTCCAGTGTCACTGAGCTCAGCGGGACAGCGGGAGCTAGGACGTCATAATGACAATGGGCTTGCTGGAGAAGTAGCCCCAGATAACGTCCCTGAAAATTATCTTTTTGCCTTCGTCTTATCAATTTTGAACAGACAAAGTGGGATTGTTCCTAGGTGAACATGTTGCCCTTTCGCATACCTTGCTGAGTGGAGTGACATGTTGAACAATAACCGTGCCTTTTCCAACAGTGTCTTTTCAGGGCTTCTTTTCATCCTGACTGCTTGAAAGTGAAGAGACACAAGGGTTAACAGTTTTGATGAGGTTCCTTTCAGAAATTCTGTAAACTCAGAATGAGCAAATCTTTTGTTAAAAACAACAATCAGTTAATCTGTGAATTGCAGAAATTGCTGTGCTGAGAGTGGCAGAGAGAGAAGGTGGGATTACAAACCAGGGGCCATTTGAGAAGGCTGCCTGCCCTGACGAAGGCCCTTCACAGTCAGGAGGGATTCTTCAGATCAAGATTTCTCAGACACTTAATTAGGTGGCTTTTTAACCCTAGAATAAGTGTGGAAGTTGACAAGAATAGACCTTAAGCACAAAACAAGCAAAAAATATTAACTTCAGTTTACCTACGCAGTGAAATAAATCTGCTTTCTTTTCCACTTAGCAACATATTATTCAGACCTTTTTCACCCCTGTGTTGAGAGGTGGTAAATAAGAGCAGCGCGTGGGGGGAGCCCAGGGGCTGAGGTCAGAGTAGCCCCCATCCCAGAGTGGCAGCTGCCGCCCGGGGTCCGGGTGAGAGTCCCCGGAGAAGGTGCCCTTGGCCACAGACAGGAGATGGCCCCCGCCTCCCCCTCTCAGAGCTCCTGTCCGCCCCGTGGTTGGTTTCCATGGGAGACGTTTCCCTTACAGACTCCGCTGGGGCTCTTCTGACAGAGGATTCAGGATGCAGCCTTTGCTTCCGGGGCCTGGTTTCCAGCCCAGGAGGCTCAGTACTGGGCTGCTCCAGGTCCCTCAGGCACTTCCCGTGACGTTACGCAGGCTGCTCTCATGCCACCTCTTGGAGAGCAGGCGTGCTCTGGCACAGAGCTTTGTTCTGTCTGAGACAGTTCACGAGATGAGGGGTTGCTGCATTCGCTGAGTGTGCGTAGAAAGGGTCTAACCTGGGCTTAAATGTAGAGCAAAGTTCTGCCTCCACTGCCTCCTGCTGTTAATATAACATACTCGATGGTAATCGGAGAAGTTCTGGCATAAGATAAGAAGAGGGATTTGCCTCTTAGCAAGCCCCTTCTTTCTGGTATCTTTGCCCTGAGGGAACTCACAAGTGGAGACTGTGGGCCAGTGTTCATCTGGTTTTGGTCGCATACTTGAATCACCTGGGGAACTTTTAAAGCGTGATGCCCAGGGCCGGCCCCGTGGCTTAGCGGTTAAGTGCTTGCGCTCCGCTACTGGCGGCCTGGGTTCAGATCCCAGGCGCGCACCGAGGCACCGCTTCTCCGGCTATGCTGAGGCCGCCTCCAACATACAGCAACTAGAAGGATGTGCAACTACGACATACAACTATCTACTGGGGCTTCGGGGAAGAAAAGGAGGAGGACTGGCAATAGATGTTAGCTCAGAGCCCGTGTTCCTCAGCAAAAAGAGGAGGATTAGCATGGATGTTAGCTCAGGGCTGATCTTCCTCAGAAAAAAAGAAAGTGTGATGCCCAGGCCACAGCTGCAGCCAGTGCCGTCAGAGTCTCTGGTGTGGGACCAGGTGTCTGTCTGTTTTTATTTATTTATTTTTATTTATGTATTTATTTATTTTTTGTGAGGCAGATTAGCCCTGAGCTAACGTCTGTGCCAGTCCTCCTCCACTTTGTATATGGGACACGGCTACAGCTTGGCTTGATGAGCGGTGCTTTGGTCCACGCCCAGGATCCGAACCCGCGAACCCTGGGCCGCCGAAGTGGAGCACGTGAACTTGACCACTCCGCCACCGGGCAGGCCCCTGTTTTTATTTTTTAAAGCTTCCCAGTGATTCCAGCGTCCAGCCATGGTTGGGACACTCTGTTCTAGGCAGATTCTTTTTCCAGCAGGTTCTCTGCCCCTGGACGCAGGGCTTGGTGGGCTCATCGCAGGGCTGGCAGACACACCGAGATGCTCCAGGCAGAGGCTCTTTCCCTAAGACTATGTTGCTTCTCTTTTATTTTCTGGATTTTGCAGAGCAAGGGAGTTCAGCAGAAGCCATGACCTCAGGAGCTCTCGGAGCTGTAGAAACAGGAAATATGGGATACTGTGAAGACTATAAATGTATCTCATGTGAGCAGCTGAGAGCTGCTTAGCGTTGTGTCGCATAGAAGGAATTAAATCACCAGGGATGTTAACCACATTACAGAGTGCATCAAAAAACGTGTCAACGGGATAAACTCTGAATTTTCAAAAATAATTAGCTACCTAAGTATCGTGCTAAAGTAACGTGCTGATCAAACAAAATTTACTGTACAGAAGGATGAGAAGGTTGTCCCTCTCCCCTTTTTCCGCTTCTCACTGTTTATATTTTCTTGTATATTACTCTAGAAAATTTCTAAACATGCAAACATGTTTTGTTCCTTTTTAAACATAAAATAGGATCCACTCTTCCCCCGGGCTTTGTTTTTAAGTGTAGTTTGCCAGTAAGCATTTCTGCATTGGTCGGAATTTCCTCAGGATGGTGATTGATGGGACAGAAAAAATAAGGTGGCATTCTAACCCTCAAAGGGCTTGTATTCCTTAAATAGGAAAACAAATAGAGATCAGTTAAGTTCAGTAGATGTTTAAGGAAGAAAGAGTTAAAATGAGTAGGATTAGCCAGAAATAGTGTTGAAGATGAGATGGAACACGAATTAGGCTTTAAAAGAGGGCAAAGAGTTGGGTGGAAGGACCAGAGAGGGGGGCGGTGGTGAGAACTTGCGCAGAGACAGGCAGGAATTAATCTTCGCTACGATGGAGGGTGGGGGGCCAAGCACTGAGACCACGGGGGACTGGCACACAATGATGTTCTCCTTCGCTCTATTTTGGTAGAAGAGGTAATTGCTTTCTAGTATTAATCCCCCTCCCTTTGTTTGTGTCATAGGAGAACCACGAGCAGATGAAAGCCCTGGTCGGTCAGCTTCGCGAGCGAGCACGGAGAATCAGACTGGGTACACACGTGCTTCTTTGTTTGTTATTAAGATGTCCTTTTATAGGTACTGGTTGTGGGGAACACTGGTAACAGCAAGCTTTTGACTCCTTGAGACTGCGTTTGTTGATATACAGATATTTTATGTTTCCCGGTTACTTGGCCAGTTCTGCTCATATGACACTGCCTCACGTTCAGATTCATCAGTTTTTCAGCTGTTGCTTCTTAAGGTTTTGCTTCAGCCGCAGCATCACGCTGAAATGTTTGTTTCACTTGAAGCAGCTAAAACATTCTCTGTTCATTAGTCATATTCATGCTATATACTAAATTTTGCATAATTATGCATTTTCTGCTGTGTTGTATAATTTGGTAATAATTTTTATATGGGTTTATTGCTAATTAAATAAATGAGATTTCCTAAAAACTTTGTAAATTATCATTATTTTCTATTTTTAAATTATGGATGTAATAGACATTCTTCTGGAATTTTGGAAGAAATTGCAGTATAGGGAGGAATATAAAATATTAGTGTGTAGACAAATACCACTTCATGTTCTGTTGCTCCACAATTGGGGTATACAGCAATTTACTGTAGAAGGCTGAGTGACATGAAACTAAAGGCCATCTTTTTTGTTTGTTTTTGCTGAGGAAGATTTGCCCTGAGCTAACGTCTGCTGCCAGTCTTCCTTCTTTTTTTGTATGTGAGCCAACACAGCATGGCCTCTGACAGACGGGTGGTGTAGGTCTGTGCCTGTAAACTGAACCTGGGTTGCCAGAGCAGTGTGAGCTGAACTTAACCACTAGGCCTCTGGGGCTGGCCGTAAAGGCCATTTTTAAAATAAGATTCTTAATAAATTACAAGTACCTGACTTCGAAGGGGCTATATGAATTTTATAGCCTTTGTTTAAAGAGAATTCTCTGCAGTATCCTCATGGATGGGTCTGTTTTATCTGTTAACCTGTGGCTGTAGAGTGTTGCTGTATCCTTAGGTGTGATCTCATGCATTCAGAGGACAAACTCCCAGTAGAAGTCATTAGGGAAATGATGTAGAGACATCTTGATGGATTTCTCTCTAGTTCAAATAAAAGTGTTATGTTATTTTTTCCTCTGAGGACTTGAAGGATGGAGGCAGGGTCCCTGATTAGTGGCAGACGAACAGAGACGTCTCCGATTGTCTGTTCGTTCGTGCAGTGTGTGAGGGAAGAAACAGGGTCAGTGTTTCGGTTCTTTGCAGAATTTTGAGACTGGTGGGCTGGACCGGTTTGTTATTCTAATAATTAAGCAACTTTGGTCCAGTTATTTAATCCTCCCATGAATGTTCAGTACCTCCTTCATAACTTGAGAGTTAGGAGTAGTCTGTGAATGAGAGGCGTTAGTCACTCCACGCACACAGTTCTGTCTTCTTCGACTTAATAGAGTAATGAAATTAATTGAAAGGACCGGAAAATAAACTAATTTGGAATATCTTGGTCTCTGTCTTTTTTACTATAATGGTTTAGTGTCAAAATCAATGCAGTCCTCTAAAATTTACCATGACTTGAGCAAACAGATTTGGAACTTAGTGGGGGACCCGTTGAGGCGAAGATCTCATTCAGGTGGCAATAATTGCTCCCACTCTGTCTGTGAGGGTACTGGGGAGAATTTGAAAAAATGAAGGCTGTAAACCTCATGGAGCTCCTTCTACGTTAGGTGCTTATAATATCTTAAGAGTAGTATTTTGAAAATGGCTGTATTCGGTCTCTTTGGTTTCAAGTCACAGAGATCCAAATCCAGCTTGTTTAATGCAGAAAGCAGCATTTAGTGGTTCTTGTAACCATGGTTACAGACCAAGGTTGACTGGACCCAGGGCTCCACCACCTCCAGGACTCTCTGCCCGCCGTCTCATCTCAGGATGTGTGCATGTGTGCGGGCCTCACTCTCCTCAGGCTTCTCCAGGGGGTGGGGAACTAGGGTGCCGGCAGGCCTGGGGTGACCCTGTACAGTTTACAGTCTGAAGGGAAGAGCTATCTTTTCATCTCCAATCTGGAAAATTCTGACTGGTTCAGTTGGGTCCCATGTTCACGCCTTCGCCCCGTCACTGTGGCCTGGGGTTGCGGTACCCGTGTCAGCCAGGACCCGTGCTCACTCAGGCCTTTAGGATGCTGTGACTGGCAGCTCCTGGAGCTCCCTGGTGGTGGCAGTGCTGCTTTCAGGAAGGAGAGCTGGCAGGCAGAGCGATGAATGTGAATTATGCTGGCTGGACCACTCTCACTTTCCCCTCTCTCACTGGGGGAATAAAGGAGGAGGGTTTGTGGACATTTGTCATTCTTTCTGACCAGGCAGCTCTTGAACCCCTGTTCTGGTGTGGGGAATAGCGTTAAAAATGTTGTGGGTTTTGTCTATGGGTATGATTTGAGGGGCAAAATATCCTGGCTTCTCAGGAAGGTGACTGGAATGATACTCTTTTTTTTTTTATTTTTTTTGGGGAAGATCAGCCCTGAGCTAACATCGGTGTTAATCCTCCTCTTTTTTTGCTGAGGGAGACCGGCTCTGAGCTAACATCTATTGCCAATCCTCCTCCTTTCCCCCCCCCCCCCAAAGCCCTAGTAGATAGTTGTATGTCGTAGCTGCACATCCTTCTAGTTGCTGTATGTGGGACGCGGCCTCAGCATGGCCGGAGAAGCGGTGCGTCGGTGCGCGCCCGGATCCGAACCCGGGCCGCCAGCAGCGGAGCACGCGCACTTAACCGCTAAGCCATGGGGCTGGCTCCAACCTTTCTTAAATAGCTTTCTTAAATAGCTGAGCATTTCAGCAGACACGGAGTGCATTCAGGTGAAGTTCCTGAGCAGCAGTGAAAATAAGCAGTGTAAGGTACAATTTGTCCCCTGTCCTCTGTCCTGTTACCTGGTGTGCTGGGGGACAGTGCGTGTTGGACGTCACCAGGACTCCGTGCCTGGACCCGAGCTGGGGCCCTGTGCTGGGTGAGGTTTGGGCACCCCTCACCTCCAGTGGCCCCATTGGAACCCCAGCTCTTCAGTTACTGTAGTTTCCTGTGTGTGGAGTGATAGCAGCAAACACTGAGGACGGTCTGGGTCAGGACAGCAGCAGAGGGGGCTTGGAACGGCTGTATATGGCGTTCACTCTCTCCCATTTGGGGGCCTCAAAAGTTATGGGTCACCAGTGGCACCTTAGGTAAGTTTTGCTGTGCTTATTGTGGAAGTCATTTCTAAAATGATGCTTTTCACCTAGTACAGATAAAGGCAGGCATTTTTCAGATTTCACATCACGTGTGGTACAGGGCTGGATATTTGTGGTAGGGACTGAATAAATGTGGGGGAGATGAGGCAGTGTTTGCAATGCATGAGTTGCAGAGAAAATACTGTGGTATTTCCTTAAGTAATTACTACTGAATTTACAAAATGTATGATGTACTGTGGGATCAGGGATAATGGATTTAAAAAAATTCTGGTTTCTTTACTTCAGAAAATTGGCAGCTTGTAAGTTGAGTGAATGATCTGAATTTTGGACTAATTATTTTGGTACAGTATTTTGGACTAAGCATTATGTTTTTCTGGCATCACGTTAAATTGGAGTCCTTTTGTCATGTCAATCTGATCTAATCTGATCATGTTTTCATCACAGGAGGGGGTGAGAAAGCCCAAGAACGCCACAAATCGAGAGGAAAGCTGTTACCCAGAGAAAGAGTCGACGGGCTCATAGACCCCGGGTCGGTACACACCGAGTGCTGACTGGTGCTCTCTGTCTGGGGCACTTTCCTGGACAGTTTTGTAAATAAATGATTTTAAATCCTTGTTCTTGTTATGAGAAGGACAAATGTTGATGAGAGGTCCTGTGTGTCAGGCCCTGGTCCCGGGGCTGGTGATACAGCGTGAACAAAATGGACGGAGCCCCCGGCCCTGCTGGAGTTCGGTTGTAGCAGCAGGAGGGCAGAATATAAATGATGAGTGTTGTAAAGTAGGTAGTACGTCAGAAGGTGGTGAATGTCATGGGAGAAGGAAAAGGTGGCCCAGAGTGGGGAGAGGGAGATGAGGGTCCCGTTGCAGCTTCAAATGAGGTGGTTCGGATAGGCCTTACTGAGGTGGTGACATTTGAGCAAAGATTGGAAGGAGGGAAGAGAGATGGCCCTGTAGATAACTTGGGGAGTGTTGCAGGCAGGGAGTGGGCAGTGCAAGGGGTCTGAGGTGGGAGTGTGTCCGACATGCTGAAGGAGACAGGAGGTCAGAGTGGAGGGAGTGAGGGGAGAGGAGTGAGAGATGGGTCAGATTTCGTCAGCCTTGTGGGCAGTGTAGGAGTTTTGGCTTTTACTCTGAGAGAAATGGGGAGACCTGGTGGGATTTTGAACAGGAGACCATTAGATCTAGTTGACTTGTGTTTGTTGGAGTTGTTCTGGCTGCTGTGTTGTGAGCAGGCTGTGGGCAGCAAGAGTGGAGGCCCCAGGACCAGTTGGAGGGAGCAATGAAGCCCACAGGGGCTTTTCCTGCGACGTGCACGTGTGCCAACCTGGAGACAGACGCTGTGCACACCTGGTGCATGTCCTTGTGTACGTTTGTATGCATGTGTCAGACACATATGTTAAATGGAATCAGACTAAATGTGTTGTTTTGTCACCCCTCTTTTCCCACTTAATGTATCATGAACATTTAAGTGAGTGAGAGAGAATCACAGTGATTGAGAGCCTGGGGCCTGGGCCAGGTTGTTATTACAGCCCAGCTCTGCCACTGCCTAGTGTGGCACCTTAGACAAGTGACTTAGTGCCTGTGTTTCAGTCTCCTTGTTAGTCAGTGAGTATCATAATAGGATCCACCCAGAGTTGTTCTGAGGAGTAAGTGAGTTAGTGTTTCTGAAGCTCCTGGAAGAGAGCCGGGCACATGGTAAGTGCTACTTAAGTGTTAGTGCTATTCTTTCTGTATTAATAAATACATTTGTACAACATCTTTTAAAATAAGTACCTAGTGTTCTGTTGTATGGCTATACCATATACATCGCCCAAATCTTTATTTATTTATTTTTAAAATTGGATTTTGTTTTAGATATTCTTATTTTTGTGGATTTTGTGTACATGTGTATTTGAAACGTTGCCCCCTTAAAGAAAAAATCTTTTCCATGTGTGTAACTGTTTAAATATGATTTTTTAAAATGACATTAATTCGAGCAACATCCTTTCTTCCACTCAGGTCTCCATTTCTGGAATTATCCCAGTTTGCAGGTTACCAGTTGTATGGTGACGAGGAGGTCCCGGCAGGTGGCATTATTACAGGCATCGGGAGAGTCTCTGGGTGAGTGTTCTGCACTCGACCCCGGGGTCGGGAGGAAGACTCATGGGGCGCAGCGTCCAGCGCTCACTGCTGTGCACGTCAGCGTGCAAGTTCTGTGCTGTTGGTGTTATTTAGGACTGAGGCTTCCCACCCAGACACGTGTTAGACTCATCTGTGGAGCTTTAGAGACGACACTTGAAGGGAAACCCCCAGCAAAGATGCTGGGGATCCAATCCTGAGCTCCCTAGTTAATCAGACTCTCCAGTGAGGGTGTGGCTTGTGTGGTTCTCCAGGGCTCCCCAGCCATCTCTCCACACCTAGGCTGAAAGCCACTGTCTTAGAGGAGTGGTCCTCCAAGTGTGGTCCCCAGGGAGCATCAGTGTCACCTGAGAACTTGTTGGAAATGCCGATTATTGGGTCTTCCCAAGAAGTACTAAGTCAAATTCTGGGAGTGGGCCCGAGATTGGTGCTTTAATAAGCCCTCCAGGTTCTGAATGCTGGCATTGGAGAAGCTCTGCAGACTCAGGCTGTCTCAGTCGGTAGGCGTTAAATGTATTTGTGCATATTCCTGTACGATCTCCCGTTCCCTGCACAGTTAGCATGCTGGCGAGCTGGTAACAATTGCCCCGTGATCAGTGGTCTTAATCTCCACTGCTGCACTGCCGCTCTGGGAGTGGGTACTCTTCGAGTCATCCCCCTCTTGCAGGTAAGGAAACCTGCGTAGAGAGTTCAATACCTCCCAAGGTCAAGCCACTGGCAAAGCTTGCCTTTGACCTTAGGCAGTTGGACTCTGCCTGATATAATTCCTTTGACTCAGATGCTGGTTTTAGATGTTTGTTCCTCCACCCTCTCCCTGTGACCTGCGCACCTGGAGCCAGTCCCCATTGTTGATTCCTCCTTGCTTCCTTTCTTTACGCCCAGACCTCCCCCATGGCTCTCTGCCAATTGTGATTTGCTTAGTAGTTACCCAATGTGGAGACATTTTTTTCTTGGAGTCTTAGCGGACACTTAAAAATAAACCTTTTTAAAAAAATGGTAAACTTAGTACAGTTAAATTCATACAGAATACATAATTAAGTAGGAGAATTATCTCAATTACACCTCCCGTCATGATGACTGTCAGCGTGTTGGAGCATGTTCTTCTCCTTTTCCTGTGCATCTGCTATTATGTTTTTTATCTTTATTGTCTTGCCTTGTTCTGTTTATAAAATTCTCGACTTGAAGGAAATAGTGTAGCACTTGGCAATCGTGCAGGTTCAGGAGTCATCGGCCTCAGTGAGAGTCCTGGCTCCGTCTTGTAGCGGTTTGACCTTTAGCAAATTGCTTGATCTCTCAGTACCTGTGTTTCCTCATCTGTAAAATGTGATTCGTTATAAAATGGAATAATAATAGTAGCTACTGTAGAGGATTGTGAAGACTGAATGCGAAGAGTAAATGAGTCAGGGAGCATGTGTAGAAGGGTGCCTGGCGCATGGTAACAGCTTCATGAGTGATGCCTATTAAACACTATTATTTTTAGCACAAAATAGGAATAGTAGATAGGAAAGTGATGAGAATTTATGGGATATAAAGAAGTTGTTTTAGATTATTGCAAAATGCACATTATAGCAAGAATCAGAATCACGGGAAACACATTCGCCCAAATCTGTCGTCTAACACATCAAACATCTTATTGCTCTGGTTCCTCTCTAGTTGTGGCCTTGTCCTTCAGTCCTTCAGGAAGTCTTGTTGGTCCAGAAGTCTCGTGAGGCCCCAGGAATGTACTCAGGTCCCCCCGCTCCTCCCACTTCCGCCGCCTCGTGTCACCTCGTCTCCTGCACGGGCCGGTTGCCTGGTCTAGCAGCTCCTTCTGCCGCTTCCCTGTGATCAGTTTTCCACAGAGCATCCAAGGCGATCTTTAAAAATGCAACTCAGATCGTGAATTGCCCTGCTTGAAACCTTCCACCTGCTTCCATTGCTCTCGGAGTCCAATTGTCCTCCGTGTGCGCGCGGTTATGGCTTACAGCGTCCTACATGATCTGGCTCCTGCTCCCTCTTTAACTTAGTTTCCTACCACTTTTTTGTAGCCTCATTGGCTTTCTGAGAGTTCTTTGAACCTATCAATTTTTTCTGGCCCAGGAAAAGGACTTTTGTCCTTTTATTCCCTGTGAAGTTGCCGACTTCTCATTTTCCTTGATCTCTCAGCTCAGACACCCCCTTCTCAGAGGCTTTCCCAGACGTTCCCATCTGGGCCAGCTCTGGTCACTGGTCACAGCGTCCTGTTTACTTGCATTACTGTACCTGCGGTGCTGTGATGATCTTGTGTACTGGTTTGTGGTTGTTTCTTTACTGTCTTCCTCCTCCACTGGCGTCTACACTTGGTGAAGGCAGGGGCTTTGTCGTGTTCAACTCTGGTGCCTGGACCACTGCCTGGCAGGTGATAGGCATTCAATGTAAATTTCCTTTTTTTTTTTTTTTTGCTGAGGAAGATTGTCCCTAAGCTAGTATCCATGCCAGTCTTCCTCTGTTTTGTATGTGGGACACTGCCACAGCATGGCTTGATGAGTAGTGTAGGTTGGCGCCCAGGATCTGAACCCACCAACCCTGGGCCACCTAAGCGGAGTGTGCGAGCTTAACCACTACTCCAACGGGTCGGCCCCCAACGTATGTTTCTTTTTTTTTGCTGAGGAAGATTCGCCCTGAGCTAACATCTGTGCCCATCTTCCTTTATTTTTTTGTATGTGAGACACCTCCACAGCATGGCTGGTGAGTGGAGTCAGTCTGTGCTCAGGATCTGAACCTGTGAACCTGGGCTACTGAAGCGGAGCGCACTGAACTTTAACCACTTGGCCACGGGGCTGGGCCCCCAACATATATTTCTTGAATGAATGTACCTTTTATGTACTTATGATCATGTCACAGATAGAATTTAGTGCTTTGCTATTTCACTTATTTAAGCAAACATTTTTTTGATATTTAAGACTTTTATTGGTTTGTCTTGTGCTGTCACTTTGTAACCATATACCTGTTGTTAGACACTTGTGCTTCCCCCGATTTTCGCCATTCTAAAGCAGTGTAATGAATGGACATCTTCGTGCAGATAGTATTTTCCTGTTCTTAATTATTTCTTCAGTCCCCAGAAGTGGCAATATTTAGATGGACTAATGTTTTTATGGCAGTTGATACAAATCTTTTGAAAATGTGGGCTGTTTTACTTGCTATCGGTATTCACCATGTTATAAATGTACCAGGTGTTTTTGTTTTTGCTTTATTTGCATCCCATCTAATTCCAATAAACAGTTACAGCTATTCAAAAAGGGTCATGAAATAGCAGAAGACAGTGTAAATTAAGAATAAGACTGAAGTTAGTAGAAAAAAATGAGGCTGTAGTCATAAACTAGGAATAATATAATATTTCCTAAAATGACAACATTAAACCCCAACATTTACTCTTGGCGGCCTATGAATTTTGCTCTGTGCTTGCAGTTCTCAAGTCATTTACTTGACTTGACATGAGTAATGTCCCGCCAGACCTTCCTAGGCTGGACAGGGTAAGATCGTCCCACCCTCACCCCGCTTCTTTAGGAACGTGGCTCAGCTACATAGAAACAAGAAAAAGAAGAGAAACACCCATTCCTCAAGAGGTGCGCAGGGCAGTTGGCACTCGGGGTACCGAGAGCAGCCAGGCGGTTGTGAGTGAATGAGCAGTTGAGTCCCTATTCTTTACACCATGGTCATTGGTAGTTTCAGCCTGGACTGTCAGAGCCACGCCGCTAAAGTCATTAAATTCTTTTATACCTTTATTGCCCTTTTACACATTTGAGTAATGCTGGAGATGCTGGTCTAGACTCCATGGTAAGTTCTGAAGTAGACACCAGGAAACTTGGAGAAAACTTGTTATATGGCATCTATTTATAACCAGTTTAGAACCAGGGACTGCTTGCCTCAGATGGAAACTGGCTGAAGAGTAGTGAGCTGCAGCCCTTCTCTCTGCACACTCAGGTCCCTTACCACGGCCTTCATGTCCTGCGGGGTCTGCTGTCTGCCCGCTCTCCTCACCTCACCCTTATTTGTAGCTCGGCCGCCCCTGGTCTGGCTGTTTCTTGAACACGCTGAACTGCTTTTTGCTTCAGGGCCCGTACTCAAGCGCTTTGCTCTGCACGAGTGTTCTTCACCTGCTCCTGGAACAGCAGCTCCTTCTCGTCATTCAGGTCTCCATTCAGATTTCCCTTGGCCCCTGCTTAGGAGGGTGCACTCTGGAGCCAGGCTGCCTGGACGCAAGCCTGGCTTCACCCCTTGTTAGCTGGTGACCACGGGCATGTGGTTTAATTTCTCTGCCTGTTTTCCCGTCTGTAAAATGGATTACCTTGTGTCCCGAAAGCCTTAGCACAGTACGTGGTGCGTGGTGCCTGCCCTGTAAGTACGGGCTGCCGTTGCTGTTCCTGGTCGTCTGTCCCGATGCAGCCCCCACCGCGGGTGCCTTGTTTTGTTTTATGTTGTTTGAAAGTGACTGATAATCACACAATGACTGTACATGTTGTGTTACCCTGTTTTACTGTTTCTCGTAGTGCTACAGTCAGAGATTATCTTGGGCGTTTGTTGGTTGTTGCTGGCCTCCCCCGACTGAGCCTCTGCCCCAGAGTGGAGGCTCTACGAAGTCAGGCACGTCGCCCTCCTGGTTCACCCTGTGTCCCCGTGACCTGCAACGGGATGTGGCACGTCGAGTATTTGTTGAATAACAACAGGAATTAATTTATAGGCCAAATCATCTGTTGTGGTTATTTCCAGAGTGAGGTTGTGAAATTGTGTCACACCTGCAGGATAATGCTGTGTTTTGTTTTCTCTGGTTGAGAGTTGGGCTGGAATCCTCCTTATTCCACAGAGATACCAAATAGATGAAGAGCTGGGGGTCAGAGCTCAGCCTGGTTTAATTCCACTGCACATTTTAAACTTGTAATAAAAAATCTTCTCATGGACGCCAGCTCTTAAGTTGTTTTCTGTGAATGGAGTCATTATCCAGAGTTCCACATGGAGTGTGTGCATTTTAGCTCATGAGGCTCCTGTGCGTGGGGCCAAGAGGCCAAGGGGCTGGGGAAAGACTGATTTTATCTCTGCACTAGGGCTGCTCTGGTATTCGATATTATGACTGGAAAAGAATTCACTCATTTAATAGGTATAAAGTAGTACTTCATTGTAATTTAAATAGACCTTTTTACATAAATAGTACGGTTGAATATATTGTCAGCACTGTTTCTCTGGCAAATGATAGATGCTCAAACTTGTTTAAGCAAAAAAAAGAGAACTTATTGACTCTCTTAACTGATAAGTTTGGCTTCCTAGGCCCGGAGGCAGAGCACGCCATAGGCAGTTCCTGGGTTCTGTTCTATAAGCTTAGCAGCTGCAGTGGGAGCTAAGTTCCTAAGGAGGTAGTTCCTGATGGGGCCCAGTCCCACTGCTGAGCCAGTGCGGACCCTGACTAGAAAGGCCTGGTTCTTGTGCCCGCCTTTGAAGACAGGCTTTGGGGTCAGTCTGCTTGAACCACATGGATTAAAAATAGAGAGGAGGCAGTTTCTGAAGAAAGTTTGGTTCTGTTGCCACACTAATAGGTGCTGGGTAGACAAAACCAATAGATGTACAATGCAGTATTTTTGTAGACTAATTTTATTTCTCATTCTGTAACAAGTCTGTGACTTTTTAACAGACGAGTGAAAGTGGCTGTCTCTCGTCCAAGGTCACACATCTAGCTGGTGGCAGAGCCAGAGCTTTCGCCTGCCTTTGTCTGGCTTCACAGCCTGGCCTCCTCAGGCTCTTCTGGTGCCCACCAGGACTAGGAGTGGGAGCAGCTCGCCACAGCCTAATTCCCTTTGAAGTCTAGTTTGTTTAATGTTAAAGTCATTAAAAATTTGCATTCCACTCTATAAAATTTTAATTGTAATGTGGAAAAAGGCTTTACATGATCTAGTGAATAAAATGGATGCTCAAAGGAGAGGAGCCCTGTTCTCTTGTGGGTGCTGCAGGCCACGTGCCCTGGTAGGAGAAGCACAGCATCCCAGGGCCCCACGCTCCGTGCTGTTCTCTGTCCTCAACAGGGACTCAGTGAGTGGTGTTTTAGAATTCTAGAGAATATGAAGTGAGAGAACAAAACATCGTACATGTAAAGAAGCTTGTTATGGCCCAAAGGGGGTTCGTCTGCCCCCCGCAAGACATGCCAGTAGTCAAGAGGCAAGGTGATAGGAGAGAAAGGGTTCTTTATTACAGCTTGCTAGCAAGGGGGAAGATGGCTGACTCATGTCCAAAAGAACCATCTTACAGAACAGACTACAGGCCAGTTATATAGGGGGCCTGCTGGTGGGAGCAGACATCTGGGCTTAGTTCCTGATATTCTTTTGTTTTACTGGATATGCATCAGAGACTGGTGCAACGCCCTATACCCTGATCTTTCAGTTGTTGTTGATGATGGCTGTCAGCATAGACTCTCTGCCCAGGGGTTATCACGTTGCTAAGGAACTCAAGAGAACAAAGTTATGAACTTATAGCAGCTGGGAGGGGCCGTAAGATCCACAAAGCACGTCTGGATTAGTTAATCAGAGGTCATTCGAAGTTACAATATGCTTTCTTTTCTACAATATGGCTTCCCTCACGTCAGCCTGGTGTTCAGCCGGGATCAAGCTTACATTCTGTAAAGAACACTCTGTCGGTCCTGGCAGAGTGAAGCAGTTTCCCTCACTGGCCGTCTTCATTCACCACCCTCCTCCTGGGTGTTACTTGTGAGCCCTGATGCCCAGCAAACTGGTTTTGGTGAGAAAGGGCACCACTGATGCCTCACTGTAGTATTTGTTTTCAACATACTGTTTTAAAGTTTGCATCTGTTATTTTAAGCAAGATAAATGTATTTTTTTTGTGTGTGTGTGAGGAAGATGGGCCCTGAGCTAACATCCATGCCAATCCTCCTCTTTTTGCTGAGGAAGACCGGCTCTGAGCTAACATCTATTGCCAATCCTCCTCCTTTTTTCCCCTTTTTCTCCCCAAAGCCCCAGTAGATAGTTGTATGTCATAGTTGCACATCCTTCTAGTTGCTGTATGTGGGACGCCACCTCAGCATGGCCGGAGAAGCGGTGCATCAGTGCGCGCCCGGGATCCAAACCTGGGCCACCAGTAGCGGAGGTCGTGCGCTTAACCGCTAAGCCACGGGGATGGCCCCTAAATAAATGTATTTTAAACTTCGTTCAGTTTTATAGGAAAGCATATGGCAGTAATGTGAAGAACTTTTGAAAATACGAAAAATAAATACTCTTGATGGATCAGTTTTCAGTTTTGCAAATTACCTTCCTCAAAGGAAATTTTGAAGGTGTATTATGAGGGATTTCCTCACCCTTGAGACTTGGATTTTTTTTTTGGATTATGTTGTTAGGACCCTTTCATTCAAAGAATCATTATGAAATGTGGCTTAGGGTGTTAGATTTCCACTACTAATATAGGGTGATGACTCTTTAAAAATCAAGTATGAGTTTGTAAACTTGTCAAAAATGATCATTTTGTATTACATAAATGCGTATGCAAACCGTGGTCAGAGTTTGCTTTTATGTCATAAGACTGTGTGCCGAGGACTGTCGTTGGTCACCTGTAGTAGAAGCTGCAGGTTGTCTGGGAGGTTTAATGAGATGTGGATTGGCCTTTACTTTGAAGACATCTCTCATACTCTCTCTCCAATGAAATTTCTGTTTTTCAGAGTAGAATGCATGATTGTGGCCAATGATGCCACCGTCAAGGGAGGTATCTACTACCCAGTGACGGTGAAGAAGCATGTGCGGGCACAAGAGATCGCGCTGCAGAACAGGCTCCCCTGCATCTACCTGGGCAAGTCACGAGCGCAGTGAAGTAAACTGTTATTAGCTGGGGAGATCCAGACCACCTAGAAGGCTACGTGTGTGACTTTATCAACGGGTATTTTAAAAAACTGCTGGTTTCTCCCATGATTACAAAAGAAATGCATGTTCTTTGCTAAAAACTCTGGGAGAAAAAGTAAACAAGAGCTACCCATGATAATATCACTGAGGAATAACTCCTGGTGATATTTTGGTATCTGCCAGTTTTTCTCTACACTGTGTGGGGTTTTTTTCTTTCATATATTTTGTTTTTCTAAGAGCCATAATGGGTTCAAACTATGAAAAAATACTGGCTAATATTTATGGATTCTTGAGTGCCAGGTACTATGTTAAATGCTTGAATATGCATATAATTTGAGCAGATGTAATATAAAGAAATTTAATTTTCAATGAAAGTAAGTTTGTATTTGAAATTAAAATACATTTAAATCTAAGGATGTTTCAAAAAGAACCAGTTTAAAATGGGCACTTCCTGGAATTTGGTTTAGTTTGGTAGAACTCTGGTGTATACTGTTCTCCCGTGTGAGCATCTGAGCGGGTACTGATGGGAGAGATGCTTTCTTCTGTGGAGGTGAATTTCTTGGGCTGACTCACAGTGTGAACTGCTCTGCAGGTGTAGGAGCCCATGCGGCCCTGCTGCTTGGGGGGCCGTGCCCTATTAGCTTTAGCTAATCCTCAAAGGAGAGAATGTCCTAAACATTTCTTAAGTGGAATTTTGCGCAGAGGGAGGAGAGCCTAATGGGTTTGAGGAAAACAGGAATCCTTGTGGCTGTGTTGGGGGATCGGGGAGAGAGGCTGTGTGATAGTTCAGAAAGATGGGCAGGTGCTTTGTGAGGGTGATTAAGAACCGATGCGGTCGCTCACTCGAGTCTTCCCATGTACAGCACACTTTGTTCTTGGAGATGACTTACCAACTCATTTCCTCGTCTTCAGTTGATTCAGGAGGGGCGCACTTGCGTCGGCAAGCAGATGTGTTTCCAGATCGAGATCACTTCGGCCGCATATTCTATAATCAGGCGATTATGTCGTCTAAAAATATTACACAGGTAATTTCTCATTCATGAGATATACTGCTTTTGGCTCCAAATGTGTTTGCCAACTAGATACTCTGGGATGACTTAAAACAGAATTTAATACAGAATTTAGTTGTTTTCCACAGAAAGTATCTTAAGATTTTATCTCCAGTCAGATTCTGCTGTTAATTATGGGAATACTCTTATACTGTAATAAAGGTTATTCATCGAAGGAAAAGAGTTTTTAAAAAGAAAGGGCACTGAGTGATTGCTTTTTTAGGACCATGTTCTGCAGAAACTCTAGTACATGGATGAGGAGACATGTACAAGAAAGTTCATCGTGGCATTGTTTGTTACAGCCAGTTAGAGGACAACTTGAGTCACCATAGTGGGAGATTAATAATACAGTTCTGAGCTGTTAAAATGAATGAACTAGAATTGTATGCATCAACGTAAAAATATGTCTCAAAAAATATGTCGAGTAAAAAAAATACTAGACTAAATGTATAGCCAATTGCTGTTTGTCTAAATGTTAAATACATCAAATAATCTATTATTTATGTCTGAACATACGTGTGGGGTGATACACTCAGCTTTACCAACAGTGGAACCTTTGCCGTGGGAGGGAGGTGAGAGGGTCTGTGGGGGTGGATAGAGGCTTCAGCTGTGTCTGAAGGATTTTATTCCTTTAAAAAAACCTGGCCAGGGCCGGCCCCGTGGCTTAGCGGTTAAGTGCGCACGCTCCGCTACTGGCGGCCCGGGTTCGGATCCCGGGCGCGCAACGACGCACCGCTTCTCCGGCCATGCTGAGGCCGCGTCCCACACACAGCAACTAGAAGGATGTGCAGCTATGACATACGACTATCTGCTGGGGCTTTGGAGGAAAAATAAATAAATAAAATTATTAAAAAAAAAAAAAACCTGGCCAAATGTCAAGATTTATTAAGACTGGGAATTAGGTGAAAGGATATTTATTTAATTATTCTCTTCTTTTTTGCGTGTTTGAAATACTTCATAATACTGATGGTGCCCCTTTATGTTTCGTCATTGGATTTCTTCAGTTTGTGGTATTTTTATTAATATTCTGGTTAACTAGTCTTCGCTTGCAGTTAGTACGCCTCTCTTCTTTATTTGCTGTCCCTGTGGTCTCTTGCTGTGACGACGTAGTAACCTTGCCTACCTCTGCTTCGTGTATCTAAACAGAAGCTTCTGCTGTGCTCACTTCTGCACAGATGGCCCTTCCATTACGTGGTAAGAAATTCCTATTGTGATCTCTTGTTTTACAGGGGAAAGTAGCCCACTTAATCTGGTAGTGTAATTTAGGGAGCTGTACTAACCTTGTGTTAGTTTCCTAGGGCTGCCATAACAAATTACCACAGACTGGGTCGTTTAGAATAATAGCAATTGACTCTCTCAAGTTCTGAAGGCCAGAAGTCTGAGGGCGAGGCGGCAGCAGGGCTGTGCTCCCTCAGAAGGCTCTAAGGCAGATTCCCTTCCTGCCTCTTCCAGCTCCAGGGGCTCCAGGCGTCCCTGGGCTTGTGGCTGCATCCCTCCAGTCTCTGCCTCGTCTTCGTGTGGCTTCTCCCTCTGTGTGTCTTCCCTTCTCTCTCTTGTGAGGATGCTGTCACTGGATTTAGGGCCGACCCAGGTAATCCAGAGTCATCTTCTCTGAAGAGCCTCAACTTCATCACATCTGCAAAGACTCTTTTTCCAAATAAGGTCACAGTCATAGGTTCTGGGGATTTGGGTGTGGGTGTATTTTTGGGGGCGACCATTCGACCCACTGTAGACCTCTGTCACCTTGTGTGCTTATTCCTTGCTCTGTGTTTCTGTTCATGTAGCTTTTGTGGGCTCTGTGTAAAACATCAGCCAACATGTAACAGGTGTTTTTGTGAGCGAGGCCCTGTGCTGGTGAGTAAGACCAGGCAGGGTCTCTGCTTCTGTGGAACATAAATCTCCAAGTGCTTTAAAACCAGGGCTTTTTAAAGTTACTCGACAAGTGTCGAGTATTTTTGAATAAGCAACACCTGCATGTGATCAAAGTCTAAAGTGTCTGACGGGTATTTGCCTGGATGCCTTCCTCTGGCCTGTTTTATTTTTGTTTCCTAAAAGTTTTGACATCAGTATTTATATATAGATAGATAGATAGATAAAGGCCCTTCTCTTTGCATTTATTTTTTCTACTTTACTCCAGTGGGAAGTTTAGGGTAAAGGTTTACCTTCCTATGTCCTTATGAAGCTCTCGGAATTGAGAAGAATTTCTTTTTTTTTTTTTTGTGAGGAAGATCAGCCCTGAGCTAACATCTGTGCCAATCCTCCTCTTTTTGCTGAGGAAGACTGGCTCTGAGCTAACATCTATTGCCAATCCTCCTCCTTTTTTTTCCCCAAAGCCCCAGTAGGTAGTTGTATGTCATAGTTGCACATCCTTCTAGTTGCTGTATGTGGGACGCGGCCTCAGCATGGCCGGAGAAGCGGTGTGTCGGTGCGCGCCGGGGATCCGAACCCGGGCCGCTAGTAGCAAAGCATGCGCACTTAACCGCTAAGCCACGGGGCCGCCCCGAGAAGAATTTCTAATTGTTACTGTTTTCTCGTCTCCGTGGTGGTGGTTCTCATCTTTTCCCCGACGTGTGAACTCTGAACCTGACATGAGCACTGAGGCTCCTGCTTCATGCTCTACAGAGAAGGTCGGGCGACTGTGAGGGCTCTTCCTCCTGAGAAGACACGGCTTGCTGCTGTCTTCCTCCCTTCTCCCTGGAAGCCTTGTCCCTCTTGCCCAGGCTGGACCTGTCGTTTATAATCCTGGTGCCGCCCCTCCTCGTGCGTCGTCACTTAGACCTGCTTCTCTTTGACTTGAGTGTTTCTCATCCGCTGTTTTCCTCCCAGACGATAATCCTGTTGACCGCCTCTGTTTTTAAAGAAAAAGGAAAAGCACCAGAAGTAACGCCACAAGAAAAGGGCCTTTTCTAGCTCTGCTGCTACTTGAAGCGGCTCTCCTCCTGGGGTTGGCAGCCTTCCTAGGATTGGCCCAGAGCCTTCGCCCCTGGCGCCCCCTCTCCTTCCGCCCTCCCTGCCCCCGAGGGAGTGAGGCACACACCAGGTCTGCCTCCGCACAACCTCTCCGTCTTGGCGGTGTTGGCGTTTGTTCCTGCTCTTGAGATTCTCTTTAGCTTCATGCCCTGGTGTTCCCTCATTCTTCTCCCAGCTGCTCGTTTAATCCTCCCACCTCCGCCCAAGAACTTGTCCGTGATGCTCTAATGAAACTTGGTGACAGAACCGTGGTTGCTGTGGCCTGTCCCGTCCTGCCCTCCCTCTCCTTCTGCTTGCCTCAGGGCTTCTGCTGTCCCGACTCGTTTCCTGCTGGTTCTGTAGGCTCCACCTAGACGTGGAGCACCTTTGCTCTCCACTCCTCTGCCCCTCACCTGGTCCTGTTCGTGTTGGTGGTCCTTCCTTCTTCTCTTTCCCTAGGACTGCGACGTTGATGTCATCCTTGACTCTTCTCTGCTTTTCCCCTAGTTGATCCTTTTAGGTGAAATATGTGTATCTTCCTCACTTCTGTATCCCCAGGAGCTCCTCTGTTGCTGGACGCATGATCAGCACATCATGGACCTTTGAAGAACGAAGGTCCCTTGAGTTTTCTCTTTGGGCTGAGCCTCTCAGCTCCGTTCCTCTCCTCTTGCCGGCGCCGTGGGTGGTTCCAGGCCTTCATCACCAGCTATGCTGCGGCACAGGCCTCGCCCACCAGTGTTCCTGACCGCCTGGTCTCTCCTTTTGTGTCCACTGCGCACTTTACTGCAAGGTTACTTCTCCTCTGGTTCCCTGCTTCCCAACCATCGTTTCTGTGACACCAGCGTCAGACTTCGCCTGGTACTTAATGCCTCATGCGGTCTGCCTCCACCCTGACTTTCCACCCTGTGTGCACACGGCTCTCTGTTCTTCACTGTGCACCACAGCCCTGTACGATGTCTGCTCAGGTCCAGGCCAGGCCCTCCTTCCCCCCTTAGATCTTGGGGTCTGAGTCTCCAGCCCGCTTTCCAAGGCGCATCTCACGACACCCTCGCCAGAGAGCTTCCCCGGGTCCCCTGCCGGGAGGAATCTTTTCTTCCTCCCGCCCCCGTGCTTCTGGAGCTACACCTCGCTCCTGGCTTTATCCCATTTTTTCTTTTTTTTTTTTTTGTCAGGACGATCAGCCCTGAGCTAACATCTGCCAATCCTCCTCTTTTTGCCGAGGAAGAGTGGCCCTGGGCTAACATCTGTGCCCATCTTCCTCTACTTTATGTGGGATGCCGCCACAGCATGGCTTGACAAGCGGTGCATCGGTGCGCGCCCGGGATCCGAACCTGCGAACCCCACGCCGCCGCAGCGGAGCTCACGCACTTAACCTCTTGCGCCACCAGGCCGGCCCCGTGCCTTTATCCCTTTTATCTAGGTATGTGCTGACTAATTTTCCCTTACCAGGCTCTAAGCCACTTGAGATTAGTGTTTACATCCTCACACGTTCCCTGAGGAGGTCCTTACTCAATGTATTGGAGGACCCAAACTCCTTACAGCTAACTACTGGAGTGACGTCCCACATACTGAGTAGTTCTAGTCCCTGTGTTTGATGTATGTTTTATTATTTATGGAAGACTCTGGTGCAGCTAGACTGATGAAAACAGTTTTGGTACTTCGCTATACAAAGCAGTCACTTGTACTCTGGTGATGTTGTGTGTGCATTTTGATGGTGAGAACCAGCTTCCTCGTGGCCAGTTCCTGTTTCCCTCCCCAAGGTTGGTTTTTATTTCACGTTATTAATCTTGCCCGTTGTAAACCCATTTATCCACTTATTTCTCAGATGCATGTCTCTCAACGGTCATAGGCTGTTATTTTGTAATCTTTGCAGCTGTCGGGATGTGGACAGATTCCTACAGACCTTCCAGGGTTGAAAATTTGGGTTTTGCTCTCGGGAGGAAAGACGGTTGAGCTAGGTGCAGACTCTGTGTTCCTGTTCCCTCCCCTTCCTCTCTGGTAGGTTTTAGGACCCCTTATTTGTTTTT